TGAAGCAGTTGGAGCTGCGTGCGGTGGGATCAAAACGCAGAAAGTGCTTCTGAATACTTTTACACCACATTGATTGAGTTGACTGGTAACGCGCGTTTGAGCTTGAACGCATTCTAGGAATTGGGCAGGTTATATGCATCACGCGTTTGATTGTGAGAGCTATATCTCTTGCTGGAGGCCGGACGCAACATTTCGAGCCGAGGGATGCAGAGGCGACGTGAGCACGCACGGGCTTATCGACATCGTGACTGAAGCCTTCAGAATGAATCGCATGTAGCTGCCGTAGCACCGACTGGACTGTTCTTTCCTTTTGAGAACAGTCACGTGAAAAAAAAGGAAAGAACAGTCCTTTTTGAGAACATTCCTTTTAGCGAACATTCCCTTTGCGACAACAACATCGGCAACACTCACGTGTTGTCGCAATGGGAGCCTCGAAGTTAAGCAATTCGGACCGACATAGAAGCTTCCTGCCCATTTTATGCGCCTGCAAACTTCCGCGTTTCCTCTCGTACGCGTTACAAATCAGCCTTCTAGGCGTGTTCTTCATGCTGAGCAGCGCGCTGTCGTGGAGCCGACTAGCCCCGCACAACATCGTCAAGCCGTTACTATGGGGCGACGCGACGGACGGCGCTCGGCGCGACGTGGCGGGGCTGGAGGACCTCGGGATGGACGAGCGCGGCGTCAGCCAGTACATGGTCCACCTGCCCGACCTCGGGATGGACGAGGCCGTGGAGGCCGTGGCGGTCGCGGTGGCGGAGCTGCAAACATGAAGAGCGGAGACAACGACAAGGACCCGAGCGACGATCGATACCCGGGTCTATTCTACTTCGTGTCGACGCAAGTACCGGCTGGTCCAGAGAAGGATGAAGGCTTTGAGGAGCCAGCAGCTGTGGGGAAGGTGGCCCTACACCCCCTGGACTATTGGGTGATTGATAGTGGCGCTACCTATAGCATGACACCTCGCCCGGACTTGCTCACCGAACTCGAGCCGTCACCGGTGAAGCATGTCACATCGGCTTTGGGGCAGCGAGCAGAGGTGAAAGGCATGGGCAAGGCCATGTTCAAGGGTGCTGATGGGAAGATGGTGGGCCTCAAGAACGTGCTTTGGGTGCCCAGCCTTGCTGCAAACCTGATTTCCGTGCGGCGGTTGGCAAAGGCCGGCATGGACACGAACTCGAAGGGAGCCAAGACCTACACCGCAAGGCTTGGCGATCGAATTCTTTGGGACCTTCATGAGGACAGGGATGTCTACAACGAGATGTGGCAGATCCCAGTGGTCCCTATGCCTAAGGAGAGGCAAGTGGCAGCAAGCATCAGCACCAAGGATGGAGCGGTCGGTAGCGACGATGGTGCGAACGGTCGCGCTAAGGAGAATGAGCTCAAGAAGAGCAAACCTGGAGGGACCAGCAAGTTCAGTGAACCTAAGGAGAGTGGTGCAGCAACCAAGGAGCAGCAAAAGGGTGAGGAGAACCCAGAGGCAGCAGCGGAGGAGGACTACGGAGAGAGTATGTGGGGCGCTATTGCGAGCGCGGCATTCTCCAATCCAACTTCGGCTACGGGGGAGTGTGATTGGCTCACCTTGCATCGGCGCATGGGGCATGTGGCCCTGCCCATCTTGCAGCAGCTAGTGAAGAATGAGATGGTTGCTGGCATACGTGTGAAGGGGGAGCCCGATGAGGTGCTTGGCTGCCCGACGTGCATTCAAGCCAAGTTCACCCGGTTTCCGTTCCCTAGTTCGGAGGCAACGGCAAAGGCACCGCTTGATGAGGTGGTGATGGACGTGGTGGGCCCCCTGAAGCTTGGAGCTGCTGGAGCTGAGTATTTTCTCACCATTGTCGACGTCTACACCCGCATGACTTGGGTGTACGTGCTGGCCAAGAAGAGCGACGTGGCTGAAACGTTGAAGACGGATTGGTTCCCGATGGTGGAGCGGCAACAAGACCGTCTAGTCAAGTCAATCCGCACCGATCGAGGGGGAGAGTTCCTGAGCAAGGAGTTTGGGTTGTGGCTGAAGAAGAATGGTATTCGGCACTCCCTCACCATGCCATACTCCCCTGCAATGAACGGCATCGCCGAGCGAGCGAACCGCACAATCACGGAGGCGGCACGCGGGTTGCTCATTGAAGCCGGGCTACCCGACTATTTCTGGCCTGATGCGGTGCGGAGCGCGTGTGTGGCCAAGAACAGAGCCTTGACTCATGTGGGAGCAGACAAATGGGTGCCCTATGTGGAGTGGCTTGGAAGGAAGCCGAAGGTGGATATGCTTCGGGTGTTCGGGTGCATGTGCATGGCGCTCGTGCCTAAGCATCTTCGGCACAACAAGCTTGGTGCCAAGGCGGTGTGGGCCGTGCACTTGGGCATGGCTCAAAACAGCAAGGGATGGCTTCTTTGGGACCCATTCACCAAGAAGTTCTTGGTGAGCAGGGACTGCAAGTTCATGGAGAACTTCATGTACAAGGATTGGAAGGCGGAGAATGAGGCGAAGATAGGCGTGCGGTTTGGGGAGGTGAAGAGTTCCGGTTTGGAGCATGTGGAGCTGCCTTTGGAGCTGAGCAGCGGCAGCACAACCACAAGGCAATCCTCCCTTGTGAATGGGGGAGAGGAGGCCAATGATGCAGAGGAAGAAGAGGAGGAGGTGCAGCAAGTGAGCGAGCGTGCATCGTCACTCCCTTCCCGTACTACGAGTGCTCCACGGATTCGAGCCACACCGCAGCAACGCCAAGGCCTTCAAGTCCCTGCAGCTGGGGAGGAAGGAAGGGGGAAGAGGAGAGTTCAACCCCCTAGTAGGCTGACCTATGATGCGCCAGGAAAGCAGGGCAAGACAGCCCTGGCCGGAGCGGCAATGATGGTCGGAGACGACGAGGAGAGTGACTACGAGGAGTGTGCCTTCGCGTTCTTCTCTCCGGTGGAGATGCCGGGAGAACCAGCAACTCTCAAGGAGGCTTTGGAGAGTAGTGATGCTGAGGAGTGGAAGAAGGCCATGGAGAGTGAGCTGAAGAGCATCGAGGAGAATGACACGTTTGAATTGGTGGAGCTACCGGAGGGGCGTACGGCGATAACGTCCAAGTGGCTCTTCAAAATCAAGTCGGATGCCGACGGCAAGATCGAGCGCTACAAGTCTAGGCTTGTAGCCAAGGGGTACCAGCAGAAGGAGAAGGTGGACTTCAAGGAGCTGTTTGCCCCTGTGGTGAAGCCGACGACGCTGCGAACCCTATTCGCGGGAGCCGCCATCAAAGGATGGGTAGTAAAGCAAATGGACATCGTAACGGCATTCCTTAACGGCATCCTTGAGGAGGAGATTTTTATGGCGCAGCCAGAGGGGTTTGATGATGGCAGTGGCAGAGTGTGGAAGCTGAAGAAGGCCCTCTATGGGCTGAAGCAGGCCCCTAGGCAATGGTACATGAAGCTGCGCGAAGTGTTGGAGGGGATCGGCTTCACTCCCTCAACGGCCGATCACCTAAGCTAACAACACTCGAATAAACAGAGTCAGAAGCACTACAGTCAACAACAGCATGCATAGCATGAGGAGTCTAAGAGATCAAGCAACTGAAAAGCCGACATGCCCCACAGAGCGGGGCCGTACGTCTGAA